TAATTCCCTTTCATTTCAATTCTTCCAAATACTAATTCCCTTTCATTCCAATTCTTCCAAATACTAATTCCCTTTCATCATCAGGTCATCCCACTATTAGGGGGATGTGATCTCCAAAACCTCCAATCTCAGACCTTGTTGACCTTGTTGACCTTCTAGGGGGGGGGGGGGGGCCCCGTTGATTAATCCGACGTCTGCATTAAGCTCTATGGGGTGAAGCATTCACCAACAACTTTGAAGATCCCACGGATCAACCAAATTTCTCGCTATGAAGCGAAGTTCCACTCAGAATCCCAACACATGCCCAGGGTGCGCATCCCATCTAAGCCGATCTGGTCGGTGCTTTTTTTGTTGAAACCAACCCCGGCTTCGAGTGCCACTGCCACCGGGCCACAGCGTTCACTGCCAAAACCGCAGGTTTGTCCTTTGAGCCAAAAAGGACCGCGGATGGACCACCTCCGCTGCTTGAAACACCTGACATTGCCAAACCTGATTGATCTGACCCGTGGCCAACGAGCTGCGAAAGCACTATTTGGTGTGACACGTTTCAGGAAATGAGCAACAGGGGCCAAGAAGAAGGAAGCACCAGAAGTTCTCAAAGGGTGCCTCTTGGAGGCTAGAGGGTACCCCTAGGGGCATTGGGACTCAAATGCCACTGCTAACTCCTGGCAATTGATTGCCACTGCCAGCAGCACAACGTAGCACCATCTCTGCCAGGACTCCAGGACTTAGTCCAGCCATGTTGGCCCTCACATTTCGGTCCATAACAACAAAAATGACTGTATTTAGGCACACTAAAAATGCGAGTTCGCCGAACATTCACCCAGCGAACCGTTAAGAATTTGGCCATGTCAACGTTCACCAGCCTGATCCATCATCACGAGGTGACCCATATGTACCGGGCTGAAGGCACCAGGAAAGACCAGCTGGCCGTCGCGGAGTCTTCGCTGGGCTGTTGGGCAAAACATCAAACATGATGATTCCTCTATGATATGACACCGAGTATTCTATGTCTATATGAGACTTCGTTCACTTGAGACTTCGTTCACCTTCTTGGCCAAAGCGAGGCATCCATCCGTCTTGGACACCACCCCCAATCTCCTCTCCCTAAGCCAAGATAGCCAAGCGAGCCGGTGAAGACCACAGCCAAGTTTCGGCCGCTCCTCCGGCTGAGAGCCTCCTCATAGGCCTCGTCCAAGTGTGTGGACGGTGGACGGCGATCTCTTCAGCACGAGGGACGAGGTTTGACCACTTGGAAAGAAAGGCGCACATATAGACTTTACGTTTTGACATCAAGTACTAATATATTGTTATATCATATCACAACATATCACAACTAATATCATATGTTTTTAAGTAAACGCGAGACATCTTCTTTTCACGTTCTGCCGAAATCTAGTATCGGTTCATCCTGAAATGGGAGACCCCCCCCGCATTTGACGGTACTCCTCACTTCAACCCTCTAACTTTAGCCTCTAGAGTCCAGAGTGGTCTCCCTATTTCAAGCAAACTCGACGGGTTGACGTGCTGCCACGTACCCTGTGGTGAATGTGGTGCCACGTAGCTGTTGACCAAAGCCGAAATCGTCGGCCATCGCGCTGCAAGCACCGCTTCTTCAAAAAGAGCGGTGCCGGCAAAGTCTAAGACCAGGAGGACCCCGGGTTCCCCAACGCTGCTAGGAATTGATTTTCTTGGAACACACATCTACTGTAGAAATTGATTTTACAAGATGAACACATCAACAAGCGTGTGGTGGTGACTTTAACTCGTGGCCACCCTCTGGTTGATTGGCTACGGGGCACAAAGACATGGTGAAACGGACATATTAATTGCTGGTGAAACAGCCGCGCCTGCTTGTGTCACTCAGAATCGGTTTGTCTCAAGTAGCCTGAAGGCTTACCCACTGTACTGCTCCGTGGCCCGTTTTGGGGCCGGTCCTCGTTGGGGTGGTCTCGCATCAGGTGCGCACGCGCATCGCAGGCCAACCACTTGTTGACAACAATGTGGAAGATCACGCCTGCAAGTGCCAAGCCCAACGCGCACCATCCCCATGGGATGATGACCAAATTCATCACATCGCCAGCCAGTCCGCCTTGATCGATGGGTAGATCAATTTGGCCGGTGATCTCGAAGCTTCTGAAACAGAACTTGTCTGCCACAGAGTAGTCTGCGATGAAGACAAAACTGGAAGTCAACATGCACATGGATGAGAGCAACACTAGAACTCGCTGAAATCGCTTCATCTCTCCCCACTGCGACTTCTGGAGCAAAGCCGCGACATAGTCTTTCTCCTTCTCCGTCAGCGCCGCAACGGCTGCATGCTCCTGACGTGGCTCTGCAAGCTTCTCACCATCTTCATCAACCACCTTCATAATGCGGTAGGTAAAGTAGAACATGGCCAATGCTTGCACCACTGCTGCAGCCAAGGTCACCCCACTTGAGACGATGCTCATAACGCCACTTGAAGACTCATCCGAGTAGGTCAGCAGCGCACCAACCAGAACTTGAGGCACAATGCTGACTCCAATCACTGGCAGAGTTCCCAGCAACATCCGTGGGATGTTCAAGCGCAAAATGCCACAAAGAACACTGGTCGGCCAGTCAGGTCCTGCAACAAGGATGGACACTTTGTCCATCTTCATGCCGCGCTGCTTGAGGATTTGCTCCATGGCCCTTGTTGGCACTTTGTCCACACCGACGAACTGCTGGACCTTCACAAACTTGCCCATGCCATAGCCCATAGAGTATTGGAGCGTGCATGCAATCATCTTGGCCACAGAGGAGACGAGCGCTCCGGCCACGATGCCCCACCCGAAGCCAATGACGCCATCAGGACCGGCGACTTGAGATTGAGCACCCAAAACGACTCCTGCAAAGAGGTAGACTGCACTCCCTGGGACAATTGGGCAAAGGAACATTGCCAAACCAACTCCCAGAACCATCAAGCTCAACACGATAAAGGTCAAGTTTGCAGCAGCCAGAGTTTGGTTCAGCCATGCAAAGAACACATAAGTCACCTTCATTCCCAAAAGCAACGCCACACCCATCATTCCCAACAAGTTCACCTTGAAGAAGATGCTGCTCCAAGCCCATGTGTGCATCTCATCGATGATGCGTTGCCCTTCTTTTGTGAATTTGCCGTCTTCTGTTGGTAAACCTGTGCACTTCCGAACCTTTTGCCGTACTGCGTCCAAAAGAAGCATTACAGGGATGAACAAGTTCAAGCCAAAAACCATCACTGCTTTCATCCAGTCAGACTTGAGGATTTTCATCAGGTTTTGGGCCAAGCGATCCTTCTGTGTCACACTGTTCAAGCGTTGAAAGCCAAACTCCAAGAGCATAAACCCGACTATTGAAGCAACTGATGCAGCTCCCAAAGCTACAAGGCCAGAGCTAATGGTCACATTGGCACCCGACACATACTGGGCACTGTACATCACAGTGAGCATCATGACGATAAGAGCTGTGGACTTCTTGAGAGCACTCTTGACTCGCTGTGCTTCGGCTTCGTCATATTCAAGACCCTGCGCTGCTTGAGCAAAGACCCAGCTCACTAGAGCTACAATGACATTCCCAATTCCAATGGCACAGGGCCCTGCCCATTGGAGAAACCACACCGTCTCTGCACTTTTGCAAGCTGAGAGAACAGCAGCCTGAGCGTCAGTGTCTAGGAACGACACATCTTTCTCCTCGCTGCAATGGGCTGTGTAGTTTAAAGCCATGCTGCTGTTGTCGTAGAAGTACTCGTACACTTCTTCATTCTGGCTTGCAAGCCATTTCCGTGTCTCCAGGCTCCAAAACCTGTCAAACATAGCTTGCCAGCCGACCCAGCAAGCAAAGGCGACTAACGTAGCAAGAACAAAGCTCACTGCCACACTATCGAAAAAACGCTGTCCAGGGATCCCATCGTCACCCCCTTTGAAGCATCGCAAACGGAGACCTGCGACCAGAATGATCGCAAAAGCAAAGCACACCAAGCTGCTGAGCCAGGGATATCCAATATACTTCAAGGATGAAGTTGCTAGAAAGCCACCTGCGAGCAGAAAGGCAAACAAAGCTTGCACAGCCAGATTCCTCCGATGGACATCGACGATGAAAGCAGCAGCCAATGCCAAGGCACAGGCAACAGCCGCCACATTTCCAAGGAGGTCAACCTGAGCGGTTTGCCATAGTCTTATTAAAATCCATTCTGGCTGGAGGCCTTATGCAAACCTACGTGTTCCTTTGTTTTGGAGATATGGCGATGCTTCCGTGCAGCATGCTTGCCTTTAGTTACACTTGCGGCAGAGGTAACCCTATTGGCAGCTGCCATGAAGCAAGCGTGCAGCACTATGTTTGCTGCACATCCTTACGGCAAACCTTGCAAAACTTGTGCCAACAACTGGCAGAATTCTTTATGACTGATTTGTTCCCAACCCTTTAATTACAAAAGAATCTATATATACAGTATATAGAGAGATTCTTTTTCACACAGCTGCCAAGCCTGGCTATCCGCCGCAAAGCTGGCAATGTTGGCAGCGAATCCCATGCTCGAAAACAAGCCAAATGCCAGGGCTTCTGGGAGAAGGATCAGCAGTAGTGCTGACAATACAAGCTGCCATGATGGTGTTGCATCAACCTCATGGCAAATAGACATCGACACTCGAACTCTGAGAACTTCTTCTCAGCCGAACTCCACCTCCAGCTACGCTTCAATCCTTCCTTTGAAGGCGCCCATAGGCCAGCGGTGCTGAAGGATGTTTTTTGTACGGTGGAATGAATCTAGTGTACTTGACGGTTTCTCCACTATTGACTGACTCTTGCTTCAGTTTGACGAGCTGTAGCCCCAATGGCGTCATCAGAAAATGCTTCTGAGCCAGAAACTGCAGCTTCTCAGTACGCAGCAGCTGACATTGCAGCTGTCAAAGCTGCTTTGTTTCTGCCAAACTAGCTGATGAGTCTTCTATTTCTGTCATCAATTGACACAATGAATGATGATTATAATTGATATAGAGATTGACATGTTTGTTTGGCCAAACAGCTTTTTCACTGGTTTTCTTTTAAGAAACACACCGGAAATGCCGGTCCCGGTGGCCTGGCGGAACTCCTCCAAGGGCCATTCCTCGGTTTCAGAGTCGCCAGAAGCGGCGGCGGGGCGGGGCGTCGGTGGTCCACGCAGCCCCGATTGGGCGTCTTGGAACGACATGGTGAATGACACATGAAGTAACAAACAGTAATGTAATGTAGAAACATGTAGAAACACAAAAGCAAGGATGAAACAAGGATGAACAACATGTAGGATGTGGAAAACATGAACAAATATCATCACGGACTTCACTTTGACTTGGTTCCAGCGCACGAAAGCACAACACAGCTCTTTTAGGATCTGGCGGCGGGTTTTCCTGGGAACAAGAGTCTTTGTGAGCTCAACTTGCGACGTTCGCCAACACCATCGAGAAAAGCTCTATACTTTGGATACTCCATCTTCAACCGGCAACAAACATGTCATGATGCTACTGCCTATAGCTGCTACATCTGCAATCCATCGTCGTTCATCCATCCACTCCTCAATGAAAACAAACGATCTGCGCCCTTCCCGCCTGCAGTTGTCATGTTTCTTCCATCCACAGGTCCGCACAGGGAGTTTCTGAGCCAGGCCATGAAAGCGCGAGTGCAAGGCGTGTCCAAGAAGGTCTCCATTCATTTTGACATTCATTCTCGCTCGACCGTAGCTTTCGAAATGCGCTAAGCGGCGCGTCGGTCTCGGTTCAAGAGCGCCCTCTGATTGAGTTTCGGAGGACGCTCTGTGCTTAATTTGCCCACCACGTCGTGCGTGTAGCAGTGTAGCAGTGTAGCGGTAGCAACCAACGAATGGGAGAACCTCCGGGCCCGATTCTAATCTATTTAGGGAGATCCACTTTCAATGCACCAGCATGGATCAGCCGGGTATCAATCGAAGCACAAGCAATTTAATTTGGGCTCTTTTCCGCTCTTTCTGCGCTGTCATTGGCCACGTGGCTGCTTTAAGCCGTTCGGGCGAGCACTGGGCTGTCTCCCCTCGTGTGCAGGAAGATCCCATGCTGTCCAAATGCAAATACTGCGTTTAATGAAAGGGTTCGAAGTTCGCGAATCTGTATCATTGCTCTTGGCGGCACCAAACGCATCTGTTGATATCTGTTGATGATGATGATGATGATGATGATGATGATGATGGATCATGATCATTTTGTGATTCTTATTGCGATCACCAAGAGGACCGATTCCAACTTCCAACCAGGGCGATCATATCTACTTCGGTGACGCGACACTGTCTGACGCCACATCTTTTGGTGACAAGGCATCGAACAGCTCAATGGGACTCAGTCGGGGCTTCAGCCTGGTCAAACGACCAAACCGAGACAGCTCGGCTTTGACGACAACATCAAAGTACCAAGCGACATGGAAAAACAAGACCTTGACTTGAATTGAACCACGTACTGTTTAAAGTGCCAAGACAAAAAAACAAACACATGTGTCATTCTTGTGTACTATACTTAAGTGTTCAAGAAGCATTTGACATGCATGTCCGCGAGGAAACTGGAAATAAACAACGAAAAGGACATGATGATGCCAATTACAGCAAGTAATGTAACATGGCTATTTCACAAGAAGCAAAATACTACAAAGGATCTAGTCTAACTGAAGCCGTACCCCTCACAGAGCTCAAGCCTGACAAATCCTCACCCAACCCCATCCGCCATCATCCACCCAGGGCTCTGAGAGTACCCAGCCTCTCAGAGCTTCACAATACTGGTGAAGAAGGCTTCAGGTGGCTCTGCTGGAGGTTCCTTGATGGCCCTGGCAGCGGAATTCGCGCGAGTTTCGGACCGCAAAGAAGGAGACTGCAAACCTGCTGATCAATACAGCTCAAGTGCCCCAAACATGTCCTCTCTGACAAATTGCAGCCTGTCTGAATACATCTGAATACTCTCAACTTTCACACCAATTCTGTGGCACGTATCTCCCACGTCTACCCAGCTCAGTCAATCGTTTCTTGGCGTTGCAGAACACCCTGTTTAAATGCGCTCGCCTTTGCATGCGTTCGCGTTGTTTTTGTAATTTCCTCCTTGTGGTTTGTTCCTCAGCAGTTTGTTTGCCGGATATTGAAGTAGCAAGCAACAATGAGGAAGTATATAGGCATAGAAAAATTGAAATGCCACGTGATGGCAAGTTAAGTTGTATGGAACCTCTTTGTTGATGGCAAATTAAAATGCTTCTGAAAGAAACGACTCTGGGTTTCACCAAGGTGACATGGGCTTTCCTCTACCAAAGTAAGTCTGCCACAAGCATATTCTTCGCAAAGAGGTCCTGCCGAAAGTCTGCTTGCGGCGAGGTGAACTACTGGTGTCGCCTGATAGCCTGTCTGAGGATTTAAGTCCGTTGTGGCCCAACAAAATGTCCTCTTTCATCCTCCTTCACTCAAAAACGCCGAAGTCCAACCGACAAAGGCGAAACAAGCCGCATGCCTTGTCGGGGGTCGCCCTTGGGGGGTCTTTGGATCTGGTCCCCTGCAGATGTGACAGATCTTCCTTTCACTCCTTACAGTTTCTTAAAGCCTCACCCTTTTCACCCTTTTCCCAAAACCGCACCAACCACTTTTGAAAGCCTCGCACCGGCCCCAAAAAGGTCTTTTTTCCTTCGCCCAAAACCGCACGAACCCAGCCATCCTCCCCAGCCACGAGTGGACCCGCTCCTCCAAGGGCGGCAGCTGGGGCTCCGGAAGAACCCACTTCTCCCCCTCCAAGGCGCGATTCGCCCACTCCGGCGAAGCGAAGTCGGGATCCGGAGGTCGCTCCGCCTGTCGAAGGGTCGTGGAGTGGACCGACCGGTGAAAAAGAAGCGAGTTTTGGCCGGGAGCTTATGTGTTTAAAGGCTAAATGTGACATAAGATGACATAAGTAGATTGTTGCTCTCTGTGAACTATACTTACTCACTTCCACATGCCTTGCACCTTTTTTAAGGAAGAGACACCAAGTTTGGCCCCAGCCAGGCTATCCAATCGTCAAATGATCAAGCGCTGACGATCGCCCAATCGGCCTGGACAGATCTCGAAGCTTGCTGTGGTGAGGACCTCAATTTTCACGAAATGGGAGCTGAGCATTGACAGCATGGACAAACCATTTCAATTACTCACTCGTCGTCACACACCTGGTCTTTAGCGAACTAGCTTCACTCGAGAGATCAGGCATCACGCGGGGGGAAAAAAAGAAACAGAGCAACACAGCTCAGGATCTGTTCAAGAACAAGCGCAAAACAACAGAAAACAATAAGGGGTATTCTGTGCTAGGAGATGCTAAGAGACACCTTCTACATACCACCAATCATAGGCCATAGGCATGCTGTTCATGCTGTTCGAGGGTCCAACTGGCGAGAGTCATTTGGCCTGGGCTTTCATGGCCCGAAGTCTTCGTTGACATCGAACGACCGAAGTCTCCGATCGAATCCATTGATGCTCCACACACACACACACACACTATTGGACCCTTACTATTGGAGCATTGAAAAGTAGGACGCCAAAAAGGTTGCAAAAGCAACAACATGTCACAGTAGGACGTTGAAGCAGCATGTCTGAAAAGCATCAACAAGACGTGATTTACTCGAGTCAGATTCCATCCACAGCCAAGGCCAGCACAGGCCCCTCTCAACGATTCCGGATGCAATTCCCTTCTGTTTGGAGACATGTCAATTAGGAATTACTTAATCACTTGGACTATCACTTGGCTATATTAAAGAAACACTCCCAGGAACAAGGACCTTTCAACCCAAACCCAGCGGATCAAGGGTCTCCCAATTCTCATGCACACCCAAAGTGTTCTTTTTGCATCCTTTTGTCTTTTTCATGTGTTCTCACAGGTTCACGCCTCCGGAGCAAAGGGCGGCCCTGCTGGTGAGGAGTCGACTCCTGCGATCCGGTGGAGGGAGGGGCACCTCTGCGAGTATGACTGTCCTCAATAGAATAGATCCAAAAAACAATGAGTGCTTTAACTGTTTCAACTATAATGCTAGTTACTGTGATAATTGCAAATATAATCTATTTTTGCCTAAGTGTGGGAACTGAGAGATTGGATGGCATCTGGTGGCTTGTTGACACCAAACAAAGGACTTCAGCCCTACTGGAACTTTGAAGCATGTCCAAGCAAGAGCACCAGGCCTTGTTGTGGTTTGAATTTTAAGTGTGGCTTTTCGTGTTATAATGAACTATACAGGAAGGTGTTCGGGAACAACCAAAGCATGAAACCCGCAATCAATTTCACTCTGAACTTCACTCATGACTCATCCAACCAAAAAAGGCCTAAACGGATCGCGTGCTACAAAAGGCTTCGTTCCTTTTGAACCAAAAGCAGGCTGCGTCGTCCTTCATCGGTTGCAAGTCCTGGGAACCCAACCGCTCCACCCCGTCTCCTGGGAGGGCGAATACTCTGGGGACATCGGAGAGTTCGCCCTGGCCGCAACGGGCTTCACGCGCGGGTGCTTGCGGGGCCGAGTCGCCGCGACCATGCAGAGGTCAGAAAGGTGTTCCTCGTTCCACTTCCAAAACAGTAGCCATAAATGTTCAAGCCGTTGTGCAATTACAATACTAGATATCGATATCGGAACAGAAGAGGTGGCAACGCTTCA